TAATTACAGCATGCTAGTTGGCTGAAGGCAAAAATACTTATCTAGTTATAATAATATAAGTTCTGTTTATTGATTTTCAACTTTTTAGAGCCAGCCTACAAAGCATGGAAAGCTTAGTTATGACTATAGAACAAAGTCTGAATATTATCCATCCTGACAGCGTGAAAGTGAAAGTGCAGCTGACAGACCTTGGAAAATGAAAAGGAGGAAGAGAAGGAGAGGCGGGTTCACTAAAAACTTCCTCTTGCAAAGGTGGGGAGTCAAGTTATAAGGAATATGAGGTATGAATCAAAAATAGAAGATTTAAATTTATAATTGAAGCCAATAAATGAACTAAAAACAGAGTCATTGACTATATTGGAGGAAAAGATGAGACAAAGTGGAGAGTGGGCCATGCTGGGTTATGGAGTTGTTGTCTCTCAGCTTCAAGCCGCCCTTCTGGCTGGGTTCTGCTGGGGCTGGGACACAGCCAACGCCCTCCTAACAACTGTGGGTTTTTGGTTTCTTTTCTTTTCCTTTATACTCTGCCAAGACTCAGGAAACTGATTGTGGTTTTGATTTGCATTTCCACGATGATTAGTGATGTTGAGCACATTTTCATATACCTGTTGGCCTGAAAAAAATCTATTCAGGTTCTTTGCCTGTTTTTTAATTTGGTTATTTGCTTTTTTGTTATTAAGTTGTATGAATTTCTTATGTGCTTTTTTCATAGGTATAGAAAAGAACAATCCTAAAATTCATATGAAATCACAAAAGACCCCAAATAGCCAACAACGCAATCTTGACAAAGAAGAACAAAGCTGGAGGCTACACACTTCCTGATTTAAAACTATATTACAGAGCCATAGTAATAAAGACAGTATAGTACTGGCATAAAACAGACACATAAACCAGAACAGAATAGGGAGCCCAAAAACACACTCATGCATATACGGTCAACTCATCTTTGACAAGGATACCAAGAATATACAATGGAGAAAGGATAGTCTCTTCAATAAATGGTGTTAGGAAAACTAAATATCCACATGCGAAAGAATGGAATTGGACCCTTATCTTATGTTACACACAAAAATTAACTTGAAATGAATTAAAGACTTAAATGTAAGACCTGAAGCCATAAAAATCCTAGAAAACGACAGAGGGAAAATGCTCCTTGACACAAGTCATAGCAACGAATTTTTGGATATGACACCAAAAGCACAGGAAACAAAGGACTACATCAAACTAAAAAGCTTCTGCACAGCAAGGAAAATAATCAACAAAATGAAAAGGCAAACGATAGAATAGGAGAAAATATCTGCCAGTCATATATCTTATTAATGTCCAAAATTAAAGACTAACTTTCATAGTGGAAAATACAGCCTCTCTCTGGGCCCGCTTCCTGTATTACTGACACTCCATCTTTTTGCTGCAGGAAAAGAAGTTTGCTATGAAAGTGTAGAGTGTTTTAAGGATGATTTACCATGGACCAGGATTTTGTCAACAAAGTTGGGAGATTTACCCTGGTCTCCAGAGAAGATAAACACTCACTTTCTGCTCTACAGTATATATAATCCCAAAATCTATCAGGTAAGCAAACTTGCTGCCTTCACACATATATTATTGTATGATACAAGATGTAGCTATAGATACAAAAAACAGATACAGTAACCTATTCTGGCATAAACTACTAATTTAAAGGCAAATAATTCTTTTTATCATTGTAATCCAGAATTTTCCCCGTATTATTTATCTTAGTATTTAAATGTGAAGATTGCTTTGAATATGTTGCTTCATATGAGATGAATTTGATATTATGTTCAGTTAATGTACTGATTGAAATTTCCATGGGTAAGATTGTAAATAAGCAACAGCATCTGTTATATATTGAATTGAATAAACAAGACAATGTCTTAAATTTATTATGTTAGGGGAAATGGGGTATGTAAACAAATACCTTTATTGCAACACGAATTATGATCTATGGTATAAGATGCAAATAAAAGACTTTGGGAACAAAGTAAAGAAGAATTTGCCTTCACCTTGGGGCTGGTGCTGGGACCAGGCTTTGAGGAGAACACATATTTGAGGTGTATCCTGAAGAATGGGCAGGATTCTCACAAGCAGAGATAAGCAGGGACATGGCAAAGGAAATGGGATGAACACAAAGGAGAGGAACTACGGGGCCTGTTTGATGAATGACAACAGTCTGGGTTAGGTTGGGGACAGGGAGGAAGGCCTAAAAAGGAAAGTTAGAGAAGTAGTTTATGGATAAATTGTATAATTCCTTCCTGTGGAGTTTGTACTTCATCCTGTGAGCCATGAGGCACCATTGAGAGCTTTTAAGAGATGCTTTAGGGCAGTTACTCTGGCTGCAGTGTACTCTCTTGCCCAGAGCTGGGAGAGAGTAAAGGTGACTGCAAGACCATGTAGAACTGTGCTGTCCAACGCA